TGTAACATTGGCGTTAATTCTTCCAATTGCAACTGTTACGGTAGAAAGAGTATTTTCTACAATAAAAATTGTCAAGAATCGAATGCGTAATCGAATGGGAGAATCGAATGCGTAATCAAATGGGAGATCAATGGTTAAGTGATAGTTTGGTTGTATATATTGAGAGCGATGTACTTGACGATATTGATAATGATGTAAATATACGACGTTGTTAAAGTATGAAAACGCATAGGCTACAATTGCAGTAGCATATGGTTTTATTTTCGTTAATGATACATTGTTTGAAAAAAATTCATTTTTGACCCCACAGTTCGATTTGTCTGGGTCCGCCCCTGAATCAAATTAAAATGTCATAAAGAATGTGCAATAATTTGTGCAATGTGATGTGTAGGTTCATATGTTGTAATGTACTAATCAACAAATAATTTTTCACAAGAGCCAAATTATCATCATAAAGATATAATGATATCATACATATGTACCGATTACTACCAAACTTAACACATACCATCAAAGGTAAAAGAAATATTACAGTCGTAGTTTAGGAAGAATAACTTTAATTCTTCCTTTATCTTATCGAAGATTGTAAAATAACTGGGCTTTTTATCGGATCTGAAAAAACTTGGCAAGAAACAAAACAAATTATTCATTCCGAAAATATGATAATGAGCTAATCATTATGTAAATTACATAGAATAATGCAACAAGAAAAAAATGAATAGTTGCAAAAAAAAATCATCTTCAAAATTGTGAAATTAAGAGATAATAGTTGAAAATTAGAAGAATGATATACTGCTAAGGCTGAAAGCGGTATACTATAGAAATTATAAAAAAATGCTGAAAGTGAATTGTGATTAATTTGATTTCAAACAATGCCTATTTATAAACTCTAAATTTTTAAAAAATATTTAATTGTCAACTCAATTTCACTGCCATTGATCGATCATGGCAAACGGCATGGTTGAACAAAGCAGCCATGTGGCTGCTCAGCTAGGGGAGCCTATGGACTCACCTAGCTCGGCTCGTTAACCAACTCATGCAAGCCGCTAGAGATTTTTTGCTGCTCCACTGATGAGTGGAGCGAGTGGAGCCAACGAGTATCTCGGCCCACTTTTCACCCCTAAGTTTATCTTATATTAATTGTCCGGCCTTGTTAACATATTCATAGTCTGAACAATAGTTTGAAATTTTGTTTCATAACATATGAGTAAGACTATTGATCTTTTAATGTAAAAAAACTAGTATTCTTCATTTCAAAGAGTGGAAATCATTTCTAAGCTGACAATAGAACCTAAAGTAAAATTTAAAAGCTTTTAGCCCAACACCAGTGTCACATTTCGTGGGCTAATTAAAGACATATGTGACACTGTTTTAAAATGTTGGAAGCTTTAGTGCAAGAAATGAAAGGTTGTAAAAACGAGTACTACAATTACGAATGGCTATGCACTTTACAACTTTACCCTAATTTATTGGAAATTGGCACAAATGGTCCATAATGTATGTTCTTTGTGCTCAAGTGGATCTTAACGTTTCATTCTTGCGGTCAAAAGTATATCAATTTTAGTAAAGAAGAAACTTAATTATACCATATATCCATTGACTTGAAGGGTCATTAGCTCAAAATTTCTTAATTCCTATATATCTTTGAATGGTATTATTTTTTAGCACTTTACAACTTTACCCTAATTTATTGGAAATTGGCACAAATGGTCCATAATGTATGTTCTTTGTGCTCAAGTGGATCTTAATGTTTCATTCTTGCGGTCAAAAGTATATCAATTTTAGTAAAGAAGAAACTTAATTATACCATATATCCATTGACTTGAAGGGTCATTAGCTCAAAATTTCTTAATTCCTATATATCTTTGAATGGTATTATTTTTTTAAGATAATCACTAACGCTCATCACAAATAATTCATCATTGTTAATAAAATCAAATCATTCGTAACCAAATAATGTTATTTAATTATAAATATGGTGTTCGCTTTTTCTCTATTTGTTCTATCTGTTCCATTGGGAACACTTCTTTATTTATCAATTTTTACTCTCAAATATATAGTTTTGCAACAGTGCTTCTATTAATATTGGGGAATCTAAAATGAATTATGACAGCTTGAATCAAATGACATGAAAGCATCCAAAATCACAAGGTAGAATCAGATGTTAATTTCAATCGGAGTAAAATATTAAAAGTAAAAAATTGAATCACTCAAAGTCAGATAATGCCGAGGTCAAAGCCTAGTTCAAGTGGTAAGAGCGAAACTTTACTCGATCATTGGTTTGGGATCAAGCGAGTATGAAAGGGAATTTTTTTTTTAAAAAATGCAAAATAAATACACTACTATAAGTACACAATTTTCTCATTTTTTAGTGCAAACATATTAAGTATGAATTAATCGTTTTTCGTAAAGTTTGTCTAAAGATAGTCATTTTGGCATCTTGTTTTGCAGTATTGTTTTTGTTGACCAACAGCAATAGAAGCAAGCAAATTCGTGTTGAAAAAAGTGAAAATGGTACCCAACACTATCACTTACCATCTTAACAATAAAAAATGATTGGATTTGTATTTCTTTTTCTTTCTCTGTCGTTTGGGTATAAGAAGTTTGACTATTATTGCAAAGAAATGGAATTAAGAAATTTTGCATAAAATGGTCCTTCATGTGTGTATATGAATAAAGTCTTTTTTTAAAAATAGATACGCTTTTAATGGCAATAATCAATTAAAATCATAAAACAAGGACTTTTTTCACACACAGTCAATAGTGTTAGGTTTCATAGTTTTTAGCAATTTTTATACAAAAATGTAATTAATTATAAAAGAGTTTTAAAAGTCAAAGAGTCAATTGATATGTTGTATAAATGAACTAAGAGTCATTGGGTTCATTTATGGAATAAGGAGAAGAGTTGTTGGATTTATACTAGCCTGTCACCAGCCTATTGCTTGAGCGGAGCACCTGTCGTCCTCCTGGCAGTAGTCTGGAGCTCGAACAACGATGTTATTTGAAAAATCTCAGTTCACGATTTTCAAGAGTACTGTCTATTTTATACGACCCCAAAACCTGTATGCAATAAATACCCAAGTTCAACTTCGTGAAAAAGGTTGGTTGAACACTGTTTTATAAGAGAGATATTGCATCGTGCACATCATACATACAATTCAAACTTCTCTTGATCCAATCAAATTATTGAAAACATCAAATCCACATAATCAAAACACCAAAGTCCATGAGAGTACTGGAGTTTGTCAAGTTTGGATCCTACTGTAAGTCTATTCGTTTATAGTGAATTTTTACTGGATTGGAACAAAAGTTTTTTATCCCCCGGGGGGTTTTCTCCGTCAACATTTTGTGGTGCTATTTACTTTTCGAAAATTTATCAACTACGATAATTCAACATTGGATAGTAGTGTGTGTGAATTCATCTGAATTAACTAATAATTATAACTTGTTGCTTATATTGATTGGTAAATTTAAATTACGCATAAAATACCTATTCAAACTCCTCCCTCTCTAGGTGTTAGTTGGGTCAAACATCGTTATTTCAAATAGGTTGATGGTCAACACCAAGAATAAATGGTAAGTGACCTCTTTGCACATGGTCATACCTAAGAGACCAATTGTACCAATTTCCCATTTTAGATCTAGAAATTTTAGTGATTTTAATGTATGGCTACCATTTGATTTAGATAAAAGTTAAATTTTTTGTAAATTATGAGAAAAGTTAATAAAATATGTGGTTAAAAAGTTGATAAATATTATGGGTCCATAAAATATGCGGTTGAAAAAATTTGAGGAAAAAATGAGTTTTTGAAAATAGGACCAAAGAGGAGTACCAGTGAACATGGTTCGATTTGACAGTTTAAGGTTATAGCGTTAAAATTTTCAACATCAAACCAAACCATTTGCTTTTAAACCAAATCAAACCAAATTTTCATTTTTTTATTCAATTTAAAAACACGATTCAGCAAACAAAAAATAACATATATCGAACAAGTTAAATTATTAACATTAATTTAAAATATCAAAACATAAATATTAATACCGTTACAAATATTATGAAAAGAAGTTCTACACTTTTAATCACTACAATGCAACCAAGTGATAAAAATCATTTTAAAATCAAAATAATATGTCAAAATGTTCATTGATAAAATCTTCACAACGATTATTTAAGTAATCCGTCAAATTATTTTATTTGGGATGTATTTAGTTTTAGCCCCTGTTTGGAGGCCATTGTTTAAAAAGAAAAATGAAAAAAAAAAAGTTTTGAATGGTATTTTAGGAGAATATGTGATTAAAAAGTAAAAAAAAAAAAAAATTTTGCATTTATTTGGAAAAATAATTTTCAGGGTAAAAAAAAAAAAGATTTTGCATTTACTTGTGAAATATATTATCGTGTGAATTTGTGGTTAAAAATGACTCCGTAGAAAAAAGGATGAGAATAGGATGAGAATCAAAAAGAGGCCTAATTGGATTGGATAAAATTTAATATTTTCAAATTGTTTTTGTGAACTATTTGACGGTTTGAAACGGTTTATAAAAATTGAAACCTAAATTAAATTACTGTGGTTCAAAGTGGTTTGACTAGGTTTAAAATCAAAACTAGAATGGATTCATTAAGATTCAAACTAATGATTTTAAAAAAATAATTTCAATTTGATATTGTGATTTCATGGTTTCGTTGTTCAATCCAAAGAGTAGCATAATAGATGGTGCACAAAATATGGTCCACTCCTGGGTTATTCTATCGTTCCCTTAAGTTTCAACTAAACATCCAAACCAGCATCGAAGAGCACTTTTCGTTTCAGATACCCTTTTCGCAATGGATCATGCTATGAGTACAAAATGAGATACAAAATAGGTTACAAAATCAACAAGTGGCGGCTGTCGATTGGAGGGGCAACTGGCCCCACAGCTACATTTCCAATAGGGGGTCGCCACTTGTTGATTTTATTACCCATTTTGTACATGATTTAGTACAAATAGAATAATCCTTTCGCAATATATATGCACACATCACACTCCATGGACACTTTGAGCTTGACGAAATGGAAATTTCTCATTTACAATTCCGCCCTCTTTCTCCCCAACTTCCTTCGCCAAAACCCAGGATTCTTTGTTCCAAGCTACCTTCAAAACCGATTTGTTTTTCTTCATCTTACGTCAAACCCATTGATATTAAGCCTTTCAGAACCCAATTAGCAAAAGCCCCAGATCAATTTTACCCTCTAAAGAAGTTTATAGCACAGGTCGGAAGAACAGAATCCGACAGGAATGAAATTCTGGTGGGTGAAGATTCTGCAGAATTCAACTTGTCGAAACAGAAGATTTTGTCATGGGTTTATTTTACTGGCGTTGGGGGAACTGTAGCTTATGTTCTTAAGGTGGCGTGGATTGATAGCTCCACTGGCCTTGGAAAACCCTTCATTGACGCTGTTTCGAGCATTTCCGACAGCCCTGAGGTTTGAATGTAGACACTGTTTGGTTAGATTGGTTTAACTTGTGTTGATTACTATGAAAATTGACTCATCCATTTTCGCGTTTTAGATTATGTTTTTCTTGCTCTACAGATATTTCGTTTATTTTGGTGTTATAATCCTTCTTTGATACAAGCATGTCCATCATTCATAAGTTCAATTATGAATGTTTATTCAAGTAATCATAATCATTTCTCGTATTATCTTTACAAATTTGAAAGTTGAAGTGCCAATTCAATATGGGTTTGAAGCTTAATTTCACAAATTTGTGTGGTGGTTTCTTAAGAATTGGAGTGCTGATGGTTGGATACAATCAAATTAGGTGAAAAAGAGAAGCTCGATTCATTTTTAGTTATGTACTTAAGGTGATCTAGTTTCTGGGAAATTTGTTCTCGATGACTGGATTTTGAACATCTAAAGTTAAGTTTTATATTATCAGCTTGAATTTGTTTCATGCTTCCGACACTTACACACACTCGTGTGACTCTTAAGGTTAGCCATCTGAAATGTTTTTCCTCTAATTTAAGAGAATGTTTGGAAGTATTTATAAACAATTTAAATTATAGATAGATAGAAATGAGTGGTGTATAATGGGTACTACTTCTGGGTAAGTCGAAATGTGCGGATAAATAAGTGTTTATAAATATTTTATAAACATGAGCCAAACATAAGCTAAGTTTCTGGAAAGCATATTACTTTTTTAAAAATAGTAGAAGACTGGAAATAAATGTATGGAGGTGTAGTATTTGAAGCTATTGAATGATCATTTATTTTTAATTTGGTCGTCTATGCCACTCCAACCAGGCGTTATACTAATCTATGAACTCGACTTTTTTTTTTTTTTTTTTAACTTGTAATTCAGGATACAACATAAATATGCTATGTTTTGGATGTCTGAAATGATTTACGACATCTATAACCTTCCATTATCTTGCTATATAAAGTCGGTCAATGATCCTTCGATTTCTGTAGACGGAATTCTTCCTTGAAGCTATTCATCATCCATCCTTAGTCATATATCCCAAATGTAAGTATAAGACGTTGCTGATTTTTGTCAATTCCACATTTTTGCAGGTTGTAATGTTAATCCTTATCATTATTTTTGCAATCGTTCATAGTGGCTTAGCTAGTCTTAGAGACACAGGTGAGAAACTCATTGGAGAACGTGCATTCCGCGTATTATTTGCTGGAACAGCAGTTCCACTAGCTCTTAGTACAGTTGTGAGTTCCTGTCCCATGTTTATTATATTATACTAGTTTTTTTATTTGTATTATACTGGTTTTTTTATTTGTGACATACACATACACATATAATTCTTAATGAATTCTTGTTTGACGAGTGTAATAAAAAGATCTTGCGGTCTCTGCAGGTTTATTTCATTAACCATAGATATGATGGTGTACAGTTATGGCAACTACAGGGTGTTCCTGCAATACGTGAACTGGCTTGGTTCTCTAATTTCATTTCCTTCCTTTTCCTCTACCCTTCAACCTTTAACTTACTGGAGGTTGCAGCTGTTGACAAGCCCCAAATGCATCTTTGGGAAACTGGGATTATGAGAATTACGAGGCACCCACAGGTATGAATGCTCAATTTCAGCTGTCACTCTAGTAGTACATATTTGATTAGCTACTAATTTCGTGTATTTAATAAAATTCCATGGTAGAATCCATGTCTCGAAACTAATTAGTTCTAATTCACTATTCTGATACTGATTTGAGAAACAATCTTTCATAGTACTTGTTTTTCATCATAGAGGAATGCTGTGTATCCTACTTCATATATTCGCAATAATGGCTGAAACAAATATAATTTTTTTCCATCAAAATTGTCCCTCATTCAACTAATAGAGTATATGGTTTCTTTCAAAAAGTCAGCAATATAGTTCTTGTCTGGTGTACCATTTCATTACCCTAAATGTAGCCGAAGCATACAGACACCCACCAAGATCATGATGGTGAGAGGACCATTTGCATTATCCTTTTTCCTCTTTTCTTAGTCACTAATTTTTATGTTTCCAAAAAAATGAAAAAGAAGAGAGAAAAATATGGAAACAACAGCAAGAAGGGGGCCAAGTGAACTGAATAAAAAGAGGTACAATGGGGCTTTGTGGGTTGAGCGTCTTGAAATTTTTGGATAAAGGAGGTGATGGGGGAGTGTTTGAATCCGTTGACGTGGCAGTAGAATGATTTCTTAAAGTGAAGGGTGGAAGATGTTTGCAAAAGTGAAAATAGAGAAAGGAAGGAGAATGTAGATTGACAGTTATAGAGTTACTGGGGAGTGGGATGCTGAGATTATTTCTTATGGGGTCAATGGGTTTCTGCTAAAGCACCTCTGGGCCGATGTGGCCAACTTGATATTTACAGTATCCCCTGGAACATCCATCTGAATTGAGGGAAGATGTGGATTTCATCTGTCAAATGTCATATTTTCAACACTTCCCTGAAAGCTGATTTAGGACACGCTGAGCAATCTTTTATATAATATGGAGAGAGTAAATAAATTTATTATATGCATACATGAATTCATATTATCGATTATCAAGTGAATATCCTAGAAATTCTTGTGGAATAAGCAACATTACTAACCCAATTTAATGGTTCCTCTAAATATTAACAAATTCATTATCTTTCCCCCACGCAATGTTTTAGTTGGCAAAAACCATGTAATGACTGGCTTTTACTCTCTTTTTTCGTTTCTAATGAAGAGTATGACGGATCATATAAAGGGAGGATGACTATGATGATGATCAATTTAAAGCTTTAATACATGACTAGTTGGTGGTTGAGCATTTAATGCAAATCTGTTCATCTCAATTCTTTATAATTATTAATTACACAAACTATTTAGCAAGCAGGAGTTGTTCAAAGAAACAAATAGAGCGTATAGGTTATTGATAAGGATTATTTCTTTTTCTTTCTTTACCTCGTACAAATCCTAGTAAATGTATAACAAGTATTGAGTATCACCACAATGAAGTGATGGTATTTTAGCAATTAACATGGCGTTAAGAATTGTGTTTTTAGTCTATGGAAATAAATGAAAACTTGATCGGAATAAATGCATTTAGTATTGTTTTTCTAACACGTGATAATGAATAGTTAGGGAATAGAATTATATTGAGTTGAATACAATCAATGATTACGTTTATCATTGTACTCTTTACTTCTGAAGAATGACTTGCCACTGGTGCATACCTAAAGGTTTCATTAGATGATGAAATGTAACCAAAGCTTATGCAAGGTTAGGTTCTGTAAGGAAGTTTTGACCTTACTTTTTTAGATTTTATTTCTCTTACACGTACAATGTTGCGTCTGATTTTTTTCATTATTTGTTTTTCTTCCTTTATTTAATGGGACCTACTGCTTTATTACAAATCATGTAATGGACTAATAGTCTTTTATAAGGTTGCAAATCTATGACAAAACCTGATACTTAACAACATATGAAAATTCAGTGGATTTTCCATATTTAATTATCTTTCATCTTCTTGTTATATATGTCATAAGCTTAAGTGTATGTTGTCAATTTTATATAAATGTTTCTCTGCCCCTTTGCCTCTGACTCTCCCCGTAGTACCCCACTCCAGCTCCCCTTGTCAAGTTGTCCTTGGGTTGTCAGTGTCATGGCATGTTTGGTAAAATGTATTAGACTACATTTGACGTTATCAAAATAAAAAGAAGTTCAAATCTTTTTTATTGTGTCTTATTCAACACTGGCACTCATTTGTTCTTTTATGTTCTTTTTTTCAGATGGTTGGGCAGGTACTTTGGTGTGTGGCTCACACAATTTGGATTGGAAATTCTGTTGTAGTGGCATCTTCTGTGGGTTTGATTGTGCACCATCTTTTTGGTGTCTGGAATGGAGACCGAAGGTTGGCCATACGATATGGGGAGGCTTTTGAAGTTGTAAAAGCGAGAACAAGTGTCATCCCATTTGCAGCAATTCTTGATGGGCGCCAGAAGTTGCCGAAAGATTATTACAAGGAATTTCTTCGACTACCATATCTAACAATAACGGCATTGACTTTGGGTGCATATTTTGCTCACCCACTTATGCAGGCTGCCAGTTTTCAGCTTCACTGGTAGCTTATATACGATTTGTTTCCATTTGAGGTGCGTGTACCAACTTGCATATGCGTATATTAGATGAGATATACTATCATTCTCTTCGATTCTTATAGAAATGTTGAGTGATAAATATGTCATTCTCTTGCTTCTACGTTTTCGTGAATTAGAGGTTGATTCAAGCATAAAACAACATAACTGGTTAAGGGATAGCAGCAAGAAGACTATTTACTGATATTGGAGTTTGGCCAGGCATGCCCTAAGAGGAAAATCCCATACATAATAATATTAGGGCTTCAACTTAGGGATAAAAGTATATAGTTTTATTCTCTATGTGCTCATTTTGACCTCCCATATCTTGCCATTTCAAATCCATTCTTGCTGCAAGAATAGTCTCCTATAATCTTTTCAATCTCAGCTTGTGTGTTCATAACAAAATGCCTTGCTGAACTACTGCTCTTCATTGAGTGGCTTTCCACCCACCAGAATGAATCTCAATGCCATGGAAGACTTGTTCCACACACTTAAACCTTCTCCTGGACCCAAAACCAACAGATGATGAACTTCTACAGGTGGCGAATTTAGGATCCCGAAAACCCAATCACCTTCAAATGTGTACACAAATGCATTCCAAGATTCTGGGATACTTTGATGATGTTGAACGTTGGATTGTAGTGTGAAGTCGAGGTACATTGTGGGAATTTGAGTCTGGACTGAAGACTGAACCCCCATTGCTTCTGCTATGCTCTTGACGTAAATTCCATCTTTCTCTGCCTTTGGGATATCCTCACTCAACAATTCTTGATACCTTGGTTCAATCCTACAGAATCTTCAATGCTTCAAACTAAATCATGTTTTTAGTAAATTTGAAGGGTTGATTACATGAATCATTTCTCTCTATTCCGGATTGGTTGACTTTCTTATTTACTTTCAACTGAACTTCTTATGCTTATAGCCAAACATGGCTGTCATTTTTTAATTATTTTTAAAGCATTTTAGGTCAATCCAGCATTTGAGAAATGATGTCCTTAGACATGACTTACATTTTGACCTGAAAGGAGAGATTTATCCACAACTGCAGACCTCTTTGAGTACCTTCACTTTCAGGCATTGAACGATACCCCTCCCTACAGTTATCCACTGCACAAGACAAGACGTGAAAATTTTGAAAATTTTGTATTTAATTTAAATAGAAAAAACAAATTTGAACGTTATTCATGTTTGTCTTCTGCAAATAACTTGAAGAAGATGAGTAAATGGCATTTAATATTTAGTACCTGAACATCACCTGTTCGTACTGTACTCTTATGACCAGTAAAATCTTCATGGATGAAAGCTCCCTACACGAAGGAGATGTAGATCAATTTAACATTAAATCCTCTAATAATAGAGACGCGCTTTTAGTAGAACATATTAGAAAAATCGCAAAATAGGATTCATTTAATTGACCTCGAGTTTATTGTTAGCAAGACTCAGAGCATGCGTACTTAAGCTTAAAGGTATGAGTTTTTAACTTAATTAATATTGCTATTGGTCAAAGATGGAATTGAGTGAGTTTCTGGTTTTGCCAAGAGTGACTTTAAAAAAGAAGTAATTTTTTTTAACATGAAGGTAAGGAAAAAAAGTAAATCCAAACATGTTTTTATTGCCTGCAGCATTTATGTAGCAGCCTCAAAACCTGTTAAGACATGGGCCTTAACTATCGGAAAGAGTGCAGTCAAAAGAGAACGAGAAATTCGACCCTTCGCTCGCTTATAAATGGATGCGTACCAAGCTTAGAATTTAGAATCAGAAGTACCTTTGTATGGATGATCAGAAAATCCAGGAAGAGACGAAACTGTTAGATCGATCATTAAAGCAAAATTGAGTTAACCGTGAACTTCAAATTATTGAGGAGAATGTCAAGAATGCTATAAGCCAATTATGAATAAGATCGATCATCAAAGAGATAGTATTGGATGAGACAAGCTCCAAAGTCTAAAAGAGATCCTACAGTTTCAACTTCGACACGTGCAACTACTTTAGATTGAAGCTCCTATTCAAGGGAAGGAAAGTCACCAACTGCGTCCTCAGAATGACTATTCTCAAGAACCCAGAACCATTTCTTAAAGTTCATTTTTCCTCAAACTCATTTTAATCACATTTCATGGAACCAATATTTTTGTTAGTTTTTCAATGACACGCTTCATCAACTATTAATAAATTCAAACCGGTCTTAATAACTATGTAAAATAATGATGCAATCGTTGTATTGTGACCATCAAGGATTAATTCCATAAAGATTTGTATGCATGCACTAAGAGAATAAAGGACAAAATTTTAGTTTTCATTTCCGAGTATAATATTCTCGTTACAAAGCAAGCAAGCGTAAAATGACAGAGTTCACCTTCAAATTCATCCAAGAGGAGGAAAGGATCTAGATACTTCAATTCAAGCCTAAAAAATGAGACCCGAGATGAATCAAGATTTACACACATCTAATACTCGTATACTAGAAACTATAAATCTCAAAGACAAACATAAATAATATTGCATTTTCTTCGTGTAACGATCACTTTTTTTCATCTCTCTCTCTCTCCCCCTCTCTCTCTCTCTCCCTCTCTCCCTCCCTTATTACATACTACATCAACATTTCAAAATAGTGGAAATCACATTTTTATTTTGTTATTTCTTCATCCCGTAGTAGCGGCGCGCGAAATGGGAGCAGCCTAAACCATGAAAACGGGGTTGTCTAAATGAGAAAATATTTTCAGGAACAAGCAAATCCAAATGATTTTTGTCTCTATTGGAAGCAGAAGTAGAAAAAGGAATAAATATAGTGATAATTTGATTCTTCTCTCTCTCTCTCTTTTTAAGGGCCTGAAAGTTCGCAAAGAATTAAACAAGAACATCTAAAATACCTTCCAATGCTTCTCCTTATAACAGCACCATTACCCTCACTTTGAGACTCGGTCAAGATTTTCTTGGCAACCAATCTGGGCTGTTCAAAACCTAAAATTTGATCTGATTCCGACATGATTTTTCTGAGAAAATAATAAACTGTTTTGCTGTCTCTATAGATTCAGCAATTTATGTCTAAATACACCGTTCGTATATTTATATTAAACTCTCTTCTAATCTCGTCTGACATATATCGGAAAAATGGTATTCTTTAAGCTAAACGAGCTTGCCATTTGTTCTAAATAATACAAATACAAATAGACAAGATTTGGAATTTCACTTTTAAGATATATATGTTTAGGTGCATTTGAGTTCTTATTCGATTGTTTGTAGCATTCATTCAATTCTCTTAGTACTTGAGATTTTAAAGATCGATTCAGTTTTAAAAAAAGGTTAAAATGTTTGGAGAAAAGACAATTACACAAGTATTTTTAATTGAAACAAAATGGGAATAGGAAAAAAAATGAAATTTTAAAATATTTAAAAGGATTGTTATGTAATAATAAAACCAATCCTCGAGTATTTTCACTTGGACAATATTCTATGTAACACTATCTAGGTGGTACTGCACTCATAATTAACCTTGGCTATAAGTGAAATAGGCTGTGATTAAGGTAAAAGTGAACAAGAATAGTCCTAACTAATTGATTTAATTCTATTTTTACCTATTTAAAGAAGTCTCCCTATAAATTTGGCTCAAGGCCACAAATTTTCTAGGTCCCAAAATCTCACTGTACAACAACAACAATAATAATAATAATATTCTTCCTTTTTAAGAAAGAACTTGGACGGTATTCGTTTATTGAATAATGCTATGTAACACGATCTTGGTGACGGTACAATATTAAAGTGTCCAATGAATAGTATTACTTCAGAAAAATAAATAAAAGAAGGAACTTCGACTATATTTCTAAGCAATTTTTCTGCTTGTATAGAAGTAGAAGTGCCAAAATTCCACCAAATGCTAGCGCTGGTTGATCTCTCTCTCTCTCTTTTCTTCTTCTTTATTTATTTATTTTTTTATATTTTTTTTGTCACTCATTAATTGGATGCTGCCATGTGTATTTTGTAAAAATTCTAGCAAAGAATTTCTGTACTCGTAGCACTTTTGATTTCTAAAATATACCTCATTATTATGACAAGTTGTACGCACACTAGCCAAATTGCTTCTATATTGTTCAGTCTGTCAAATAATATTTATAGTTAAAAATACTTGTACAAAGAATTTATTTTGGAATATAGAAAAAAATTATATGCGAAAAGAAAAATACAAATTTACGTTAAAAATTCCCAATTCGAAGAAAAAATATGAATGATCAATAAAGAGATCTTCCACAATAATAAAAAACTTGTAGAGTCATATAATAGGGTGATTATATTGACACTTTCGTTACACCACATTTTAATTGCAATTACGCTTCTCAATCTTTGTTCACTGTAGCAATTATTTTCTTTACTTTTTCCCATCGAATTCATATATTTAACTTTTCATTAATTAGTATATTTCATTCTTGACGATGATTTATATCAAAATATTTTATTTTTATGCTTTGAAATGAGAGAAAAATATTTTTTCGCACTTTTTATTTTTTTAAATGATGAAAAATATGTTGTTATACCTCATTTCAAAGGACTTTAGAACATAAAATTGTTATCAAATATAAAATATGTTGACTTGTGGAAAGTTTGAGGATAAAAATGAAATGAAAAATATTAGTGACATAATTGCTATAATGAGCAAATATTAAGAACTTTAATTGTAATTAAAATGCAGTACAAACAATAAAATTGTGATGTGAATATAATTACCTTATATAATTGTTGTTGAAAATAATAGTTTGAATAGCGATTTTTTGAAGAATGTAAAAAAACTAAATTTATATACAAAATATTTTATTATGTAAATGTGCGATTAAAAATGAGCACACAAAAAAATGGCTATCAAAAGGGGCAAAATTTCCACGAGGTCAAATCCTAAATACACCCCCTCTCCCACTCCCACCCCCACCCTAAAAAAAATAATTATTATTATGAGTGACTATAAATGATTTTCACACCTCACCCCAAGACAGTCCATGACAATCTCAGATTTGGGGTAGATAAATCTCCCTCCCTAATCGATATGATTGAAAAATGAACAAATCATACCGAAACGAATCTTCCATGTACCATTTTGGTGGCATTCTTAGCTCTGCGATAT